GGGGTGGTGAACGGCAGCTTCTTTTGGGACTGTGCACCCTTCCGTTCGTGACCCCGCTCACCTGCTGGAGGACTGAGCTGACGAATCGAACGCCACCTCGAGCGCTGCTGTTCACCTGGTAGCAATGACGCAGTTTTTGTTTATTCCGATCTTTGTGGCGGGAGGAGAAGTGGTTGGTGCTCATGCCTCATAACAACAAGTTCAATGTTTGTTTTTTATATTGAAATAATACACTGTTAACAAGGAGGACAATCCCCAAAATCTGCTGTTGTATGACAATTACAGTGTAAACAATATAAAATGTAATCTTTTTTAATGTTTTTTTTAAGGATTTTAAGAATCTTTGTGAATCTTGAATCTTGGCCCAAGCCAAAAAGCCTGTATGTCTAGAACAGACATGGTCAAACTATGGCCCGGGGGCCGGCAGTGGTCCGTTTGGCCTTTGAATGTGGCCCGCCAAACTTTTCAAAATTAATTTATATTATTATTATACAGTGGGGCTTCAAGATACGAGGTACCCGAAATACGAGTTTCCCAAGTTACGAAGAAGCAACTTTTGCAAGATGATACGAGGAAACATCGGGTTACGAGTTATATTCCACTTGACATTGTCGCGCTGTCTCGCTCACTGTCCCTCGTTGGGTTATTTTACCATTTTTATAACAATAATATAATTTTTTTTAAATTTATTATTATTATTTTATATTATCAATATATTTGTTTATATCTACATTTTTGATGTTTAGATGGGAGGAATTTTAATTAATTGAATTTATTAATAGTATATTTCTGCAGGGCTGGAATGAAAGAATTGGTTTTGAGTTATTTTTAATGGGGAAAATGGAATCGAGATATGAGTGGATCGTGTTCTGGACCGGATTAAACTGGTATCTTGAAGCCCCGCTGTATCATTGACCCCATCAGTGTGTTGTGGACAATCATGTAACCGTATTCAGACCGTACCCTGTCGATGAGAGCTCTGACCGTATCGCTGGTCAGTGAGTCTCCAGGTAGAGGCCACTCCTCCACCCTCAGCAAAGGAACGCTGTGACACATGGACGTGGTCTGCCTGCTGAAAACACACACACACACACACATGTTGTACCAGTTGTTATCGTCTCTGTTCATGAGTCACCGTCGTCAGCTGGTCGACCTCCTGGTGAGGTCGACCAGTTGGACAGTTTATACTTCACTTGTAATTGCCAGGTTTTTCCGACAGCCGAACTTGAATGATTTAGAGCCGCGGCCGGAGACCAGAAGTAGGTCAGCAATTAAAACAAAGAGCGAGCGACATTTAGAGTAATCTCTCTGCTCGGCTCGGACCGAGTGTTTAGGGTTTCTGAGGTGTGGCTGTGCGAGGGAAGAACCTCGAACGTGTCACTTCCAGAACTGTTTTTTTTTTTTTTTTCAGATACGAAATCCCAAATTTGATAATGAATTACCGCCTTGTGCCCACCCTGACCCCCGGAGCTGCTGAAAAACCGCTAGTCTACTCCTGTCACCGAGGGGTTAACTCAGTGGTTCTCAATTATTTTCTATTATGCCTCCCCCTAGTGGGCAGAAATGTTTTCACACCCTGTTTCCCCCCCCACCCCACCAAATTGAAATACTATTGAGAACCTGATAATATGTATTTTCTTATCTGTACAAACCACTGTATGCGTTGCTGCCACCTAGTGACTGGAGGTCAGCAGCACACTTCTGTGCCATATTCCAGTGTGCCATGTTACATTGGAAGCCTCTTACACCCAACCCCACCTCCCCATGACACCCCTCCACTGCACCCCCCCCAGATTCAAGTACATTTTCCAGATTTCCAAAATTTCAGATTTTGATTTAATTTTTTCAGCAAAAGTGAATTAATTATTACATCTACTGTATTTCTCGAATGTAAATTTCTCAAAAGGCCTTGGGTGCAGTGGGAGACTGGTTTACAAAGTTTACAAACTTCTGCTGCGAACATGATCCCCGAACCACTGCCACCACCGCGTGAGGCGCCTCGATCTCATTGGCCGCTCCAGACGTTGTTGTTGGGTGGATTTGACAGAAGCCGGAGCAGAGTCTAAAGTAGGCTGGCCACTAGCCCGGCTCTGACCCACTGCCTCAGTTCTGTAGGAAAAATGCAGCTGACCTAATTCATCATTCATCTCTTCACTGCACTGAGTGAAGGTCAACGCCTGGGCTCAGCGGGAGTCCCGACGACGTCTATGTCTCGGGATATCCACTGTCAGCATTGGCTCTGGTGTTTTTGAGGCCCTTAAGATCCAAAGGATCAGACTCACTGCTGTGTTTTTTGTTTTTTAAAGTCTGGCTGCAGTGAAAAAAAAAAATGTAAACCCAGAGAAGGAAACCCTCAGTTTCTGAAAATAACCATCTATTTTCTGAGTGCATTAGTCTGGACAGATGGAGACGGAGGCAGTGGAAATAACAGAACTACTTCCTGTTTACTTTGGTAGACACGAGCCCAGCCTAGCAGGGATGGTAATTTTTTTTTTTTACTTTTTTTTTCATCAGTGTAGGTGTTGCTTCAAAAAGACAGAAACATATATATATTTTTTTTTTTGAATGTTGTCTCGTACCTGGGTCTGGGACGGGCCAGAATGGCGCGGTACAGCAGGCTGAAGGGCAGCGAGCGCATGCGGCCCACGGACAGGATGATGGGATGCAGCGCAGCCAGGACATAGCCTTGCGTGTAGTACGGCTGCAGAGCCTGAGGCAGCTCAGACAGCGACGACACGTACTGGACAGTTGGACGACTTCCTGTAAAGATGGACGATTGAGAAGCAAAGTCAGTGTCAGAAAAGTGATGGCGTTATGGTTAGAACTTTTCCATGCAGCTTTTCCTTTAGCTGACCTGAAGCTATAGAGATCTAGATCTTATAGACTTAGATCTAAAGCTGTATATTTCTACTCCAAAACGTCGAGTTGAGGAATATACAAAACATGCATAGAAATGGTCATCTCCTGCGTGGGGAAAGTATCGACGCTCCACTGGGTAGAATTTAAAGCATCCATGTTTTCTGGAGCACAGATTTGGCAGTGGTTCCCTGACATCATTTCCTTGAAACGCAGCTGTTCTATGAGCCTTGGACTTTCAGAAAACATCCAAGTACATGTGTGTTACTCCCTACCACGTGTGCTGCACATAAGGTACAAAAAAATACCATGAGATTTCTGTCTGATCAGTCCTTGGAACAAAAAAAGGTCACGGACCTCTGGTATGGATGGAACTACTCCATATTCAAGCTACACATATTGTTCATTGCAGTGTTTTTTACTGCTGCATGGACTGTACTAAATGCTTTTTAAGCTCCCGCGGGCCACACAGAACAACTCGGTGGCCCGACTTAGACTGTAGTGTTGTTTATCTGCTCCTGCTCCTGGTCTCTCGCCCCCTTCCACTGCCACCACCGCGTGAGGCGCCTCGATCTCATTGGCCGCTCCAGACGTTGTTGTTGGGTGGATTTGACAGAAGCCGGAGCAGAGTCTAAAGTAGGCTGGCCACTAGCCCGGCTCTGACCCACTGCCTCAGTTCTGTAGGAAAAATGCAGCTGACCTAATTCATCATTCATCTCTTCACTGCACTGAGTGAAGGTCAACGCCTGGGCTCAGCGGGAGTCCCGACGACGTCTATGTCTCGGGATATCCACTGTCAGCATTGGCTCTGGTGTTTTTGAGGCCCTTAAGATCCAAAGGATCAGACTCACTGCTGTGTTTTTTGTTTTTTAAAGTCTGGCTGCAGTGAAAAAAAAAAATGTAAACCCAGAGAAGGAAACCCTCAGTTTCTGAAAATAACCATCTATTTTCTGAGTGCATTAGTCTGGACAGATGGAGACGGAGGCAGTGGAAATAACAGAACTACTTCCTGTTTACTTTGGTAGACACGAGCCCAGCCTAGCAGGGATGGTAATTTTTTTTTTTACTTTTTTTTTATATCAGTGTAGGTGTTGCTTCAAAAAGACAGAAACATATATATATTTTTTTTTTTGAATGTTGTCTCGTACCTGGGTCTGGGACGGTATTTTGTTTTCGTACTGACTGTTGTCTCGTACCTGGGTCTGGGACGGGCCAGAATGGCGCGGTACAGCAGGCTGAAGGGCAGCGAGCGCATGCGGCCCACGGACAGGATGATGGGATGCAGCGCAGCCAGGACATAGCCTTGCGTGTAGTACGGCTGCAGAGCCTGAGGCAGCTCAGACAGCGACGACACGTACTGGACAGTTGGACGACTTCCTGTAAAGATGGACGATTGGGAAGCAAAGTCAGTGTCAGAAAAGTGATGGCGTTATGGTTAGAACTTTTCCATGCAGCTTTTCCTTTAGCTGACCTGAAGCTATAGAGATCTAGATCTTATAGACTTAGATCTAAAGCTGTATATTTCTACTCCAAAACGTCGAGTTGAGGAATATACAAAACATGCATAGAAATGGTCATCTCCTGCGTGGGGAAAGTATCGACGCTCCACTGGGTAGAATTTAAAGCATCCATGTTTTCTGGAGCACAGATTTGGCAGTGGTTCCCTGACATCATTTCCTTGAAACGCAGCTGTTCTATGAGCCTTGGACTTTCAGAAAACATCCAAGTACATGTGTGTTACTCCCTACCACGTGTGCTGCACATAAGGTACAAAAAAATACCATGAGATTTCTGTCTGATCAGTCCTTGGAACAAAAAAAGGTCACGGACCTCTGGTATGGATGGAACTACTCCATATTCAAGCTACACATATTGTTCATTGCAGTGTTTTTTACTGCTGCATGGACTGTACTAAATGCTTAATACTTTTTTTTTTTACTGCTGCATGGACTTTACTAAATGCCTTTTAAGCTCCCGCGGGCCACACAGAACAACTCGGTGGCCCGACTTAGACTGTAGTGTTGTTTATCTGCTCCTGCTCGTGGTCTCTCGCCCCCTTCTTTCCTCTCTCCCATTTTCCCTTTTCACTGAATACCAAAGCAAACAGGCTGAACGCCGAGTCTGGATCTGCTGGAGTCTTTGCTCCGCGCTGCGGTTGGAGTGATCGCTCAGTGTGTGATGTAATTTATAATAACTGCTGCACATTCAGCCCTACCGTTGTCCTGTTAGTACGACATCAAAATCCTGTCTTGAGGACCGATCACTGCCTTCCCTGTTTTCACCACTTGGTGGTGTTAAGTGTTTGTTTTGATTTGAAATTTGAATGAGTCTCATATTTGTTTTTTTTTTGTTTTTTTTAAGTGCTGGCTAAACATCCCTGCAGCCTCCGCCGTACTTCCTGTGTCCACAAAGAGTGGCTGTTCACATGGCGAGAGAGAGAGAGAATGAGAGAGAGAGAGAGAGAAAGAGAGAGTGTGTGGCACGCGCGGGCGCGCGCGCAGGCGCACATACACATGCACACCAAACATTCGTTTTAATCAGTTCAAATGTGCAAGACAGCGGATTCTGGACGGAGTAGGAGCAACAGGAAATAATCAGGAACGAGCCTGGGAAGTTTGGAGTATGTGTGCGCGGCAGCATTCCTGACTACAACCCCCCACATTCTCACGGACAAACACCCCAGAGGAGTGAGGTCAGGGAGAGCAGTTTACAGCTGACAACATGGAGAAACCCCTCAACGCTCGGCGTGTCCATTCGTCGTCTGTCTCCCTTTCCCTCCCTTATTTTTCAAAATTGTATTTTTTCCCGCTTGTTTCTCATAAAATTAGGGCATTTAGAAAAGATTTTTAGAAATTTATTTGTTGGATTTGTTTTTTGTCAAAAAGTAAACTTTTCATGTCATTTTTGGTCAAAAACTAAAAAGATTTTGATGTAAAATTATTTTTCAAAATTCTATCTTTTCCTGCATGTTTCTCATAAAATTAGGGCATTTAGAGAACCTTTTTTAGAATTCTTTTCTTCCTGTTTGTCTCTCTCCGTCTGTCTGTCAGCTTCCAGCACAGTAAACCAAAAAAAAAAAAAAAAAAACAGTTTATAGTTTACAGGAATTCCTGTGGGTTTTAACCCCACTGTGAGTTTGAGGTAAGTCCAAATTTAGCGACGCTGAAACACAGGGCGTTTCCCGAAAGAGCAGTTTTTATTAATGCAAGTGTCAGACCGACGTTTAACAAAGATAAACAGGCCCCCTAGCTGTTCAAACACCAATTACAGGCGCTGAGTAAACTGACAGTGAATTCACCAATTCATTACGGAGGAGGAAAACAGCCAACAGCCTTCAGCCTGAACTTGACCCGGGAACTTTTTCTTTTCATTTCATGTCTCCACGTGTGACACATTTGTCCTTATTTCCATCCACTTATGGTCATTTGTCACCTTCATGAAACTATTTCACATCTTAAAAGCATAATCTTTAAATATAAGTTAAAACTCTTCCATCGAATCTGCATCTCAATCATTTGAGATTTTTCTAACATTCAGACCCAACATCACAAACACCTTCAACCAGATCTTTTTGTTTTGGGTCTTTTGCTGCTTTTTTTTTTTTTTCCTGCCCTGCTTTCACATCACACCCCCACTCCCCCCCATCCTGCCCATTCCATCAGCAGGCACACTGATGCCTCTGTTCACAGCCCCGAGCAGGAGGAGGAAGAAGGTCTGAAAAGGAGGTTGAGAGGCTCGGGGTGCGGGGAGGGTAACTAGAAGCGAGGGGTGAGGGGAGCGTTTAGTTCAGGGTTTAGTGGGTGCAGTCGTTGATGAGGTGAAGTTTCGGAGGAAAACAGAAGTTACAAGACAGATTTTACGAGCGCCTACGTGAAGGTGAAAAAAAAAAAGAATCTGCCTAGCAACAAGGAGAAGAAGCAGGAAGAAACAAGAGTCAGCTGGAGGCTCAACACAGGAATAAAAATGTTCACTGCGGAGCATCACGGACCTTTTTGTACAATAAACTTTTTTTTTCCCCTAAGAACTGAAGGTTTTTGATGGCTGTTTGTGTTTCCACAGTGATAAACGTGAAGGTCGTACAAATGAGTCCTCCGGGCGGATGGAACGCAACGCAAAAAACACCTCGAGAGCTACGATTATTTGCTACAGAATCATCTCTGAACTTGCGTCCATGAATCTTTCCTTGTCCACTATCATCACTTTTTCTCCTGGTTACTTGTTCAAACCACCTTAACCCTGCTTCTCTCTCGGATCCAAACTTTTCATCCTTGACTTTTTTGTCCTGAAGGAGGAACAAAGCGTCCTTTGAATATTTGAAATCTTAAAAAAAAAAAAGAGAAAAAAAATACAGATTTTAATAAGATTTACATAAGGCCAAATTCAAGGGAAAAAAAATGCATCGATAAAATACAATTCCTGACAATTTGTAATACGTAATTATATGTTTTTAAGGCAGGTCAAATGTGCAAATTTTGACCAAATTACATTCAATTAACATGCTTCATGCTTTGACCATAAAATATATATATATGTATATATATATTTAAATATATATATACATATATATTTATATACATATATATTTATATATTTAAATATATATATATATACATATATATTTATATTTATATACATATATTTATATCTATATACATATATATTTATATACATATATATTTATATTTATATACATATATATATATTTTTTTATATATATATATATAAAAAAATATATATATATATACATATATATATATTTTTTTATATATATATATATAAAAAAATATATATATATATAAAAAAATATATATATATATACATATATAAGGCCTGGGCTCATCTCTTGGCCCAGGTTCTTCCGCCTTAGGGTCGACTGTCGCCCACACACAGATCAGTGTCGTACTCCGACTTGAACTTTTGAACAACATACGAGCAGTACCGTATGACATCATCGCTCCAGTGAGCCGATGGATGAAGAAGATGATGGACAGTAACCTCGATTGCTCGGAGTTGGTTCGACCAACTTTATTATCTGTGCTCTATATTATATCCCTCTAATCTACGTCTAATCTGCAGAACCGAAGGCTCTCTGTGGATTATTCCAGATTACTCTCGGCATCCTGATGATAAAAGCTAACCGGGATTTGAAGGATGGATGCGCGGGAGGCACAGAGCCGATAAATCACTCGGCAACAGTAAATGATTAACATGAGTTAATGAACCACAACGCCTTCAGATACCTTCTCTGATTTCACAACCGTGGCGTTCCTTTGCGAGAATATCAAATTTGACTGATTGGTTTCGGTAGTATTGGTAGTTCTCGCAACTTTTGGAATGTATTTTTAGCTAACATTTATCGATTGTTAGAGAAGCTTTTATGGTACGGGAGCTGCGTCAGCCGCAGCCTCCTACTGAGATCAATAGCAGAACAGAAGCTTTTAAACTATGAGTGTTTCCTTCCTCTCTAACACACACACACACACAGGACACACACACAGTACAACACAATACACCACGGTGGGCAGCATGCCAGGCTAGCAGTAATTAGCTAAAGGTAGTTATTAACTATTAACTGCTTCCATCCACAGTCTGAGGCTAACGGTTTTAGATCCAGTCGCAGGTCCTGTTTGGACTGAGTAGAAGGTCTGCCATGACTCTGTGTGTGTGTGAGATTTCTATTTTAATGTGAATGTGGGGGAGGCGGATCAAAATTAAACTTGTGTCACTGTCAGCGTCCCATAAATGTTTCGAGCAAGGCGGGGTGAACGGTGGCGGTTTGCGGACACTAGCGAGGGTGCAGACAGCTACGGAGGACGTGCCTCTGCAAAGATGGACGGTCAATAAAAGAATCTGGACTAAAGTATAGAACAGGCGTGGGCAAACTACGGCCCAGGACCTGGATGAGGCCGGCGATGAGGCCTTTTGATCTGGCCCAAATTATTGTATTAATTTATATTAGCAGTATCAACTTCATTTTTCCCTGCAATGCCTGCATTTCCCCAATAGATGGCGTAGAAAAGGCTAAAAGCATGTTAGCATTTTAGTCTTTATGCATGACTCTTACATGTCATTCATCTTAGTTCACACGAACGCTAAATCTATCTGCTCCTGACCCGGACCACCTGTCAAATGTTAGCACCCCTTGTGGCGCGCGAGTCAAAAAGTTTGCCCACGCCTGGTATAGAAGGTCAACTATGGTGGAGTTAGATGATTTAGTTAGCTTGAAGTTTACTTTGCTCATTGTGAAGCACTTTCAAGCTAACGTCAGGTTAGCTCCAGGTTGTGAGTGCAAACGTTCTCTCCTGTTCTAGAACACAGAACACGCGACCAAAAATGATTGGCTGCAAAACCGGCAATACGAGTGCTGTCCAGCCAATTGCCTGTCAGGGCCGATCACGGATCAATGACCTCAATCGGTTCATCTCTAATTTTAGATGGACTGCATTTTCAGAAACTCATAAAAAAAATGTAGCCTTTAAACCATCAGAGTCCCAGGTGGAAGAAACTTGTCTGGGCAAAAACAAACAAAAACAAAACATTTGAGCTCAGTTACGTAACAGGCAGATGTGTACAGACTTGATACCTGAGGCCTCTGTAGACCATGAACACGTTAGTTCCAAAACACATAATCCTCTGGATAAAGAGGGGGAAAAAAACTTCTCTGGATTCTTCTTTGCATGTAAATTAGCACATTTAGCGCAGCTAACCTTGCCTCCTGGGCACCACAACGGTATCTATTAGCCTTATCTAATGTTTGTTTATGAGCCCAGAAGAAGGAAGTTTCGTTCAGCTTCTTAGAACAAACACGTATGGTGCAGAGAAATTGTAGAAATTTGTGTAAAAATTGATTTGAGAATCGTAAAAAAAAAAACACTCATGAGAAAGATTGTACTTGCATTATTATGATAAATTATCATTACATCAGGGGTTAATTTGATCACAACAATATCGTTTATCCGCAATGAATTGTGGGATAATATATCGTCATAAAAAAAACGTGTCATGTATCTCATTTAAAACGATAGCGTCATGTTAGCGATACCTTTTTTTAATCTAAGAAATGGCCAGCAGGGGGACTATAACCACCTTCTTGTTGATGTACGACACTGGAGGCTGTGTCATCCTGAATGGGCGCGTTGACGCGCTAACTGGATCTCGACCAAGTGAGATGGAAGTCGTTGGAAGGCTGGAAACATCATTAACTTTCCTAAACCTTGCATCCAACGACATTCCTCTACGATTCATTATGTGCTGTCCACCTACTGAACTCCTGATTCACCGCTCCAATCCCCATTCCCTTCCAAATGGGTCACAGCGAAAAAAAACAACCGGTCCCACTTCACCAGTCGGAAGTAGAGTTAAAGAGGCTAACGGCTATTTCCATAACAATCTAAAGCATTTTTTTTCTCTCCTGGAGTTTATATTTGAGCCCAGATAACAGAATGTGAGACTATATCGCTGTCGAGTGGGGGAAAAAAAAATGACTGACCTATTTTCTGACTATCTGAGACTAATTACTTGACCGATAAAATGTCCAGACCCAGTTAGTGTTCAGAGTCTTGCACCGGAGGGAAATGAGCGCTCCTGGGGGAACAATAAAGTAACTCCCTGTCGTAGGACAATAAAGACGGTGTTTATCTCTGATTCAGGACCGGTTTACAACCAACAGACAAAAAGGAAGAATGTTTGAGGCCACGGTGGCCCAATAGACGAGCTTCGCTAGGTTTTCAAATTGTTTAGATAAACTAATTTTATTTTTTTAAAAACAATTTAACAATTCTATTTGGCAGGTATTTCGCAGTTATGTTTAGTCTGACTCTGTAGCCCAATAGACGAGCTTTGCTAGGTTTTCAAATTGTGAAAGAGAGAAGGGTTTATATAAGACGAGTGTGGAGGACCTGGTGGAAACAAGATTTTTATCACATTAGCTATTGGCTAACACGATAGCTGCTATGTATAAGCTAATTTTAGCTCACTTTTGTTATTTCGGACCATCTCGTGGATATGTTTTAACAAACGTTGATATATTTCTCAGCTATGTATTCATTGGCTGATGTTTAGATAAACTAATTTTATTTTTTAAAAACAATTTAACAGTTCTAGTTGGCAGTTATTTCGCAGTTATGTTTAGTCTGACTCCAGCTTATTTTGTAGCTTAGTTTAATCTGTTTATGGAAAACGTACCGTCTCTGTTATACATCTGCCAAATTTAGCCTTTCGTTAGCTGCTAATTTGGCTACTTTTTGGATTTTAGATAGTGGCTGTAGCTTAGTTTTCAGTGATGTCAAACTTTGCTTCTCATGTAACAGTCGTTGGATTGGAAGACAAATAACCAGCACCTTTTAAAAATCGTATTTTTTTTTTTGTCCAAACAACTTCCGATTCCAATATCGACTGATACCGATATAGGCCTGGTAAAATGTATTCATTTATCTGTGCAAACCACTGTATGAGTATGAGTTTAATTAAATGAGCTACAATGCTGCCACCTAGTGACTTTCACTTTATTATACAGACTTTTATCCCCAAAACTATTTTTAGGGCCACACATCATTTGGCGTTATCGGGTTTTCATTAATTCAAAGGAAAACCCGATAACGATTCTTACAGTTATCGGATTTTCATTATCAAAAGTAAAACCTATAACGATTCTTACAGATATTACATAATATACTAAAGTCGGGCCGATATTATCGGACATCCCTAGAGTCGGGCCGATATTATCGGAGATCCCTAGCTGTAACGATCTAGAAAAATGTCAGCATCACTTCTAGTCATTTTTGAAATAACAATATTAAAATTGTTTTTGGCATAGGGTCAATCGGGAAAAAAAACCTTTGGATTCGTGTTATTGAATTTGTACGACTTATTAACATTTTTAAAACAACTATTACGGCGGTATTGGCTAACAATTAGCAGCAAAGTGAAAATTGTCTTGAGAAAAAAAAAATTTTTCACATTTGTTTAAATTACTGTTGTGTACTGCAACAACTGTTTCAGATCCGCTTTTGCATTGAAATGTGTGGGGCTGATGGGAAACTAGAATCAGTGTTGAATGTTTCCTAAGCTTCAACCCCTCATTCCCATGATTCCTACCTTCTAGGCTGAAGTCAAGCAGCACATACTCATAAACGATGTCACTCTTGGTCTCCACCTGCGGTCTCTTCAGGGTGGAGTAGATCTTTCCAGGACTGCTGTCCTCCGGGTCCTCCAGCTTCCTCAGGCCGCAACCCATGTCCTCAGAGGCGGGCACTGGCAGAGGTCCGGTGTAAGTGAGCGGCTCCTCCTGTGGAACTCCTCAGCGTCGGCGCCTACAACTTTCTCCTCACCGCTCCATCCCTGCTCGCTCCTGCGAGTTGTCTCTCCAAAAGAAAAGAGAAAGGATGTGACGTAAAAGAGATGTAAAATATCCGTGATTGGGGGAAAAAAGGAGATAAAACATAGAATTAAGACTAGAACTCGGAGGAGCAAAGAAGTTCTTCACGGAATCTCCCGCTGAAGTGGCTGCAAGACTGAAAGCGTGGAGGAGAAAGAGGAGGAGGATCAGCGGCAGTAGCGCCTCCCTGAAGAAAAGTTTCCTTAAAAGTCACTTCATGGGGATTAATACCATTTCCGGTTTTGTTTCACAATAAAAGCCTAAACTGCATTTCACAGTGGAAATGTTGAGAAATAGCTATATAATAACAAAATAACAACAATAATAATAATATTATTAATTGTTTTAGTTCCTTTTTTATTTAGATCAGTTCAAAACTGATGGAATTTTTTTCTTATTTTTGCTTTATTTTTTAACCATCGATCTATGATTTATATTTGTATTCTTTACAATGTAAGATCTTTTCCATCTGATCCTTTCGCTTTACTTTGTGCCTGCAGTTGTAACTGTGAAAATAACTGCATTCTAATCAAACGCCGGTCGTTTTTGGTCGACCGAAAGATGGCCAAAAATACAGAACAGCATTTTTATTTCACCTCCACCCACAGACTCTCTTCCTGTTTTCCACCATCTGTCTTTCCCTGCCACGCTGACACCATTAGTCCTTATGAGTGAGTAATTCAATCAGAGACGAAGTCACTTTCTTCAGTGAGAGAAATAGAAACCCGTCTTCTTCTGCTTTAAAAGGCTGTATCTTCAGTGACATCTGGAGCAGAACAGCACATATGGCATTAAATGCTGAAGTCAAGCCCGTGACCCCCCATATGCTCACCTGACACACACATACACACACAAATCTTACTGCTGACCCTTGACCTCCCTGCGGTTACTGATCCACCTCTCAGCAGCTCCAGATCCGAAGCGGATTTGAATTTGCCCTTTAGTTTAAAACAGCAGATGTAAAACGTTCATATCATGTTTCATGCTCTGTCTGACCAGACTGACGTTCAAACATTCTTTGGTGAAACGCACATTTAAAATTGAACCGAACACGAACAACGATTTTTATTACTCAACTGATGAAGTCCTATGTCTGTAATACCTCAGGGTCAAACAGACTGACATATATCACCTTCTCTGAACAGCTTACTCTCCAGCACCAAACTTCATTGAGAAAATGGAGTTTCGGGTCTTTTCCTTTATTTATCTGTCAATTTGCCTCAATGAGGAATATAAACCCAGTCATGACCTAATATGTATTTATATTATGTTCTTCACATTGTAAATACTTATTTTAGTTCAGGGGCCACATACAACCTAAATAGATGTCAAGTGGGCCGGACCAGTACAATCATAACATAATTACCTAGAAATAAAGATAAGTCAATTGTTTTCATGCAAAGGAGTAGTATATTTAACAAATATTCATATTTAATGAAATATATTTTTTCAAAACACATCCTGAACAGAAGCTGTTTGTGCTTTTCTTTCTATTTTTTTTTTTTCCAAAATTCATCATGCGTACCAGATTGAACACCCTAGCCAACTCTTTTTTAGACTGTTAATAATGGCTGCAACGAATGAAAGTTGCTGTTTCTTAAAATGTTGTTCTCTTCTTTATGAACTTTGGTTTAGGAAGTTGACAAAACTAGAAGATATTTCTGTTTTTTAAGTATTCTGCCTTATGCATCAGATCCTCGTTAGTATAGTGGTGAGTATCCCCGCCTGTCACGCGGGAGACCGGGGTTCAATTCCCCGACGGGGAGAGGTTTTTTTAAAAAAAAAAAAATTATTTAAAGGTGATTAAACCACGACAATAAATATTCTTTTAGTTTTGTTTGTTTACTTTTCTCATATGTTGTAAATGCAACGGTGTCAAACGGAGTCATAAACTGTGGCCTTAACTGGGTATGTGTGTTTTTTTTTTGGCCATTAATAAATGAATGAATGTAAGGAAGGAAGCAGCTGGGGGAAGAGGGGACCTGTCAGGAGGAAACTGAGGAAATCCTAAAATATTACCTCACGCAGTTTAAACTGTACTTGTTATGTTCACACGTAACCTTGACTCTAACAAGTTTTGGGTCAAGACATCCCTTGGTGAAAACCTGAGGCACTTCTTCAGTAAACAAACAGCAGGAGAAGGAAGGAAAGGACGAGTTTATTAAACACCACAGTCAATTTAATACTAATGGTGACCCCTGACCTTCCACTCAGTTGTTTCGCTGCAGCTTCAGACAGTTAAATATTCATCGACGTCACGGTCTGAAAAAAAATCTATAAAAATGGACCTCAACCTGGCATGACCTCTGACCTCTGCTAAAATGATTATTACATCATATCACAGTCATATCCTGGTTAGGTTTATCTGAACAGATATACCCTAGGTCAGGGGTTACAACAATAATCGTCGAGGGAGAGAATTATTCTGGACAGACACCTTAAATAAAATGAAGAGAAATTACATTTTTGTCTAAACAAAACAATTACCAAAATTATGAATTTAGGAAAATATGTATAATATACTATATATATTAATTAAAACAAATTTTCATAATTATAAAAAATATAAAAACTTTCAAGCTTTAATGCATATACGCTTAGGCTATTGTGTTTATATTTGTTTTGTACTGGCGCTATCTAGCGTCCAAACTATGTCATAACATGGACCAGTATAAATGTATACGTATATCGTATACAGCCGATTTTCTTTAGATACTATTTATTTCATTATAAGTAATAAATAGTATCTAAAAAAACAATGTTTGTTTCATGATACGATAATGGTTCAAAACATTTTCTATATTTTTTGGTTTTTGTATTTTTAATAGTATAAACTGACGTGTTTTAGCAGCAATACATTGTTCTAATTAACTACACAGAAAAAAAAGAAATACAGAAAATCAAATTAATATTTTTAGTAGTTTGTTGTTATATTATTAGTATTAGCTTAGTTAGCTTGTTGTTATGTTGTTGGAATTTGTATGGGTTTCTGATCAAAGATACAAAAAAAAAAGATTTTTATATACATTTAGATACATTTGTTTACCACAAATCCAGAATGTAAATTCAATAGGTTTATTGGAATACATACTTCAAACCTCATACTTTGATGTGTATTCTTTTGTTTACTTTGTAAATTATGTACAGAAATTACAACATGGTTGTGCTATGTGCCCCGGTTCATGCCTGTTCTTAGGAACAAAAGGGTTGGTGGTCTATAAAAAGTGTCTCCTGGTACACAGGTATATACTGTGAGGGAGACACAGGTGTGATATGATGCTGACCCAGAAACGAGAGAAGCTTGTTAGGAAGAGAGAGGGGGGTTTGAGGAGGGGGGAGAGAGAGTAGATGAGCTTATTCCTGCTCTAGCTGCTGAGAATTATGGGTCACGGTGGCACTGAGCGACCACATTAATATTTTGGTCGACATGTTGTATTTGCTCACAGCTAATTACCATGGTGGCTCGGTGTTACATAACTGATGCGAAAGAGAGAGAGCACACACACTCACACACACTTGTACACAACACAAAACACCTGCTCCTCCTCTGCCTCCTGAGAACTCCAGCACATACTTACAGAAACAAGCACCCACACTCCAACTGTGCGTGTGCTTTTGTGGAAGCATCTTATTTGTCCGTGCTGTATTTATCCAAACATGGTAAGAGAATTTCTCATAACTGAGATCTTTGCATGGGGAAAATTCAATATAAGCAAATATTGTACCGTAATTCCCTGCCTATAAGATGCTACTTTTTTTCAAACGCTTTAAACCCTGCGGCTACTTATTTAGGCTAGAAGTTCCAGTCTTTCACAACTCAGCAGCAGCAGCAACACCAAAAACGACCTTAACTCCTTCATAACACATGAACACAGAACGTTCAAATATATGATAAATACGCCTCTGGTCACTAGATGGCAGCATTGCATCTCATTTTATTTTATTTATCTATATTGATAATTCAGGGGATTGTATCCAGAATGCTGGTACCAGCCACTCTTACAGTGGTTTATACAGATAAATAAATAAATATTACCAGGCGCTCCATATTATAATTCTGTCCCATAGGGGGCAGTAAATGATTGAGAAACACTGTTTTAACCCATTACCTTAGTGAGCAGGCAACATTTAACTTCCTCCACTGTCTGGCGATATCGGTATCGGTTGATATCGGAATTGGAAATTAAGTGTTTGGACAATATCGGCATATCGGATAGCGACAAAAAGTTAATATCGGACATCCTTAGTACTATAATTTTTTCTAACGGATTAAAAAGCTGCACGAACGGAATAAAAAAAATATTGCAGTCCCTGTAATATAGATAACCAGGCTGTGGTTTTGACTGTATAAAAACATAGGTGAACTGTAAAGATAAAAGTCAGAAAAAAAACACATTACGAAGATGAATCGTTTTTCTCAGCCTTCTGCAAACAATTTAAACAATTTTAAAAGAGACAATCTGATAAACCAGTCAGGGAGCCCTGCACATTTGACACACACACACACAGACACACTACCAGACCTGTTATTGGCCTACACTTGCTCTTACAGCTTGGTGTCAGCATTGCATCGACACACGATTTTTAGCAGAACGTGATTTTTCTTCCCTCCTCTGGGATAAAAATAACCAGGTCTGGAAAAAGTTTATTCATTTATTATTTAATATACACCGTATATATGTTCTGTATAAGCAAAAGTCCAAACATGATCGGGTTTTTTTTCCCTACTTTTGTAAAGGTTTTTAAATGGTGAAAGTGGTTTTATTTTGGTTTTTGTATATTCACTTTTAGATCTTTGCCATGTTTTCAACAACATAAATCTCACCATTAATTTTTTAGCGTTAGCTCACGGTTTGATATTTCTGCTCTAACTCTTGGATGTTTTTGGTTTAATGTTAGAATATTTTTCTGCCTGTTTTTACTCCATGCTTATACTCCAGTATTTGAGTTCAAAAACTAGCAGAACTGGCTGGATTTAATAAAGCCAGGAACGAGCTAAATTAGATTTAAAAAAAAAACCCCAAACAAACAAACAAAAAACACTACATATAATTCTTATGTATGTATGAAAGTCCTCCATTCTCCACCCTCAAAGTGAAAGTTTCAGTCTGAACAAATGCTAAGGTGTAAACTTTCCGACTCCAGTGAATCCATTAAATGTTGTCCTGAAATGATGTTCCTGATTCTCCGTTCCACTGAGTGCCCTGGACATGTATGTGTGTGTGGAGCAAGACCTTGAAGCACACAGCTGTGGAATGTGTTCGGCCAGTGACATCCATTAGCACCGAGAGCTCAGCGATCGCACCTGACTGTCACTGTTTGTAGGAGGGTCAGACACTGACGAGAATTTCACACGTTTGCGGTTGTTGAAAGAACTGGAAGAGGAGAAAAACATTTTCAGGAGTTGAGTTTGTTACATACTTTGTTGGGTTTCGGGAAATTCAGCGTCACGTCTTTTAAAGGTTACATTATGTTTGAAATGTTTTTGTTTGTTTGTTTGTTATTTTCTTTCTTTGTTACTTTGTCTTTCTCTCTTTCTCTCGAAGGAAGGAAGGAAGAGTCCTTCCTTCCTTCCTTCCTTCCTTCCCTCCCTCCTTCCTTCCTTCCTTTTTTTTTCTTCCCTTCTTCTTTCCTTCCTTCCTTTTTTTTTCTTTCCTTCTTTTTTCCTTCCTTCCTTCCTCCCTTCCATTCTTGCTTCCTTCCTTCCTTCCTTCTTTCTTTATTTCTTGTCTTCATTCTTTCCTTCCATCTTTCCTTCCTTCCTTCCTTCTTTCTTTCGTTCTTTCCTTCCTTCCTTCATTCCTTCCTTCTTTTCTTACTTCTTACCTTCTTTCCTATCTTCCTTCCTGCCTTCCTTCCTTCCTTCTTTCCTCCCTTCCTTCCTTCCTTCTTTCTTTCGTTCTTTCCTTCCTTCCTTCATTCCTTCCTTCTTTTCTTACTTCTTACCTTCTTTCCTATCTTCCTTCCTGCCTTCCTGCCTTCCTGCTTTCTTTCCTTCCCTCCCTTCATTCCTTCCTTCCCTTCTTCCTTCCTTCCTTCCTTTCCTCCCCCTACTGGATGACCCATCATGATTTCTGGTCCAAGTCTGGTTAGACTGCAAACCACTTCCTTCGAACTATATGTCATATTTTCCTGGTCCACATCTGCTTTTTTGGGGGTGTGAGTTAAGTTCTTTTTTCTTCATGTTGAGCTTTTCATAACTGTTCTGTTCTATGGCTTCTAGAATATTCTGGCCCAATGAAGTAATATATTAAACTACACATCTCATCTCATCTAATATCCAATGTGTTTTTTCTACCCATGTTGGAGACATGAAATGTTTGTCCTAGATTGTTTTCAGAAAGTCGGTCACATTTTTGACACGATGAGTCACACACAACGTGAATCACATTCTGGCCTATGTTGGGTGGGTCACTAGAGGACTGAAAAGCACTGCCAGATGTATTTGTTAGACAAAAAAAATCATCAGCTTTTTTTCTTTTTAATTTTTAGGTTGAGTCAGGTTCAGGTGTTCACCCTGCAGAAACGTCCTTGATCAGGGCATTAAAACGCTGCCTGCTGTAGGGGGAGCTGTTACTGCCGTTGCTGCATTAGTTACTGTTACTGTTATTACTGCTGCTGTTGTCTCTCTCCGGCCCTGACCCCTGACCTCTCTGCGAGGGACCCACTGACACTAAATCTGTTTGTCAATGAATAATTTATGACACTTTTATTATTGTACCTCCACACTGTCCACTGGTCTTTATCCACTCGACCTGTCAGTCTGGACCAGCTCGGACTGGACAATAATGAAAGGTCAGAGGTTAGAGCTTCAGGCTGCGCACACCGTGAGCGCTGCCTGAAGCTCTCTGAATGCACTCACACAACAATGATGACAATATGAATTTGTGGTATTTGATTTTTTTTTAAGGTGTTCTAGGAAGCTCCACTACTTTGTGAGCTAGGGCTGTATGACCGTTACAGTGTAAGTATATGTAACCAATATCTGTAACCTAAATTTCCCTGAGGGAGTTATTAAAGTATGTGCATGATCTAAAAGCCACAGTCACCCTACTTACATGTGTAAAATACATGGGTGAAATAAGAAAAGTCTGAACGTAAACCTCTGTGTTATTAATTTAGCTTAGTAGTGAATGCAAGATCACACGACTTACAGTATATTAGGCACTAAGCCCAATTTGATATAAACACTTTTTAAAAATAATATATATATACTGTGCAGTCTTCATATGTCGATCAGTTTAAAGATTAGCTTGAAAAACCCCGAAATAAATGTCTGACTCAATGAAAACAACCTTTATCTGTACAGACTGGACACATTCCTCATCTTTTTTGGACCCCGCCTATTTAAAGTAAGGGCCGGCTCCTTCCATGTATCTGTCTGCACCTGGATTTAATTCTGCACCAATCACAAATCACTATCTACGGCCAAATATCACCAGGGACGCGCGATTGGCGCTGCCGCACTTCAATCAAGACGACGAGTGGGCGGTGCTAAAGAACAGAACAGAACGAGGGAGAGAGAGAGAGAGAGCGAGAGAGAGAGAAAAAAAGAGGGAGAGAAAACGAGAGGCAGGTTGTCAACTGTGTCTGTTCACGTCAAAACTCGTCTGTTGTTGGTGTTAACACAGTCCTTGACGAGTAGCGGCGTTCGGTCGAAGAAAGCCGCGACACGCAGCGGCGGCGGTGTTCGTTGGATCTTTTCCCGGGTTTGACTTGACGCGCAAGTTCGCTTGAGCCCGGAGAAACAGAAGAAAGACTGGACTGTTCTCCAACCTCGTTCCTCTTGGCCACCAACACCTTCTGATTCTTCTTCACTACCACTCCTGGTGTGGAGAACTAAAGCCTTGGGTTGAAGCTGCTCCGCTCCATACCACATCCTAGAGCAGCGAACACCGCGAGGAGGAGAAGGACTTGTTGCGCGCGTCTCCGTCGTTTGAGGAGCGCTCCACGCTCCGGCTCCTGCTCTATCTTTGACAACACACACACGCAAACACGCGTCCGCATGTTTTGGTGTCAGGAACTGACTCACACTCGGTGACTTAACACATCCATTCGCATAAAAAACACATTTCCCCGATTAGTTCGCTTCGCCGACTTCGCTTCGCTTACCGACACTTAAAAACACGTTGCTTGTTTTTCTTTTTAAATGGCACATACGCAGAAAAAGTCAAATTCTACTCTTGTGAGAATCTAAGAAATTATTAGAGTAGATTACAACAGATTTTTTTTTTCTTCCTTTACGACATCATGTCTGAAGGATATGGAGACACCGACGGTCCGGCGGACTGCATTCCGCCCAGAGTGTCCCGGGGCCGGCGCAGCGGAGTCATCCTTCCCGGTGTTGGTGGCGGTGGACCTGATTCAGACACCATCCTGTTGGAGGCAGTGAAGGCAGCACCGAGACGCAGCAGCATCATAAAGGTACAGAATTCACAACCAGACTTTGTTTGAAATTCTCATGCGAACTGTCTGTGCTGGACACATTTTGTTAACAAAAAAAGTATGAGCAAAAGCTGCCAACATAACATTGTGTTGTTGTCAAAGTTCGGAAGGGTCTGTTCTGTTCTGTCCTGATTTGGATCAAAAACAGGAGTAAATGTTTTACACCTGCGTCCTCCAAGAATAATACAAGTTTTTTTAAAGACTACAAAACATCTAAAATTCATAGACTTTCAGCCTTGTTGGTTAATATGTTATATTTTTAAAACATAAAAACACATATAATTGGATATTAAATACTGGCCTTCCTGGGTTCATCCAAGGTTCTATTGTGGCCCCACCAATGCTTGCCCATATGGGCTCGAAGTGAGTCAGTCAGGTTGGTGGGATCTACGTGGGTCTGTTACATCAACAAATGTGGTTGGCTATTGCTAGTTGACCACATTTACCTAGCCTAGCATCAGAAAAAAAAAACAAAAAACAAAAGTGCTGGCTATAGTCAAGTTATTGTTATCAGCATGTTTCTGGGCTTTTCCATACACGGTGCTAAATTTAGTGCAAAAGCTGAAGTAAATATTCTCACACCTGCTTCCTTCAAGGCCAACACAAGGGTTTTTTTTTTTTTTTTTTTTTTGTTGGGGGGGCACAGCTGATAACCTTCAACGGTTGCGCGTGTAAAAATGCAAACTCGCCTTTATATGTTTTGTCTTTGTCTTCGTTTTTTTTTTGCAAAGTTCATTGTACTCTCACTTTAGTGACAGCCGTCAACGAAAGTTGAGATTTTTTCTTTTTTGTGGCATGTTTTCTTCTGGGAGTTAAAGGGATGCTTCAGGGGTTTGAAGTGTGGTTGTATGAGACGCTGACACGGAGACGGTGTCCTCTGTATTGGTGAGTGGTGCTCTGTGTGCTCCTTCGGGTGACGAGACAACAGGCGGGTGCTCTTTGAGAATGATGCTGAGAGTAGGGACACTAAAAAACAAGGTAAAAGACATGGTATTTTACTAATCCGGCTACTCAGTTTGTAACAGCTCATGGTGAGTCTCAACCGACTGATCTGTAGTAGATGTAAATGTATATATAAATATATAAAAAAAAAAACTTCACGACGTTATGGATTGTGAAGACGTACATGCGTGATGCTGCACATTTTGAGTCATGTGTGACAGGTTAGGAATCACACAGGAAAGACTTGGAGTGATCTCACTGTTTTCCACCCTCACGTGCTGCTCAAGTTGCAGGACACTGGACATAGTGATGAGGGATTGTTCGCACCGGAGAGGATCATGTGTTTTGGGGCATCATCAACTTGCATGTCTAAGATAACGGCTCTTGTCACGTGCACATTTACTCTGAGTGCTGCGCAGCCCAAATACCTGTACCCTCGCAGTATGCTACCTGATATGTTAAGTGCTTAAATAGCGGATCTGCACTTTGTAGTCAGACATCTGTAGTTACTTTTGGGGAAACAACAAATTGGATGAATTATTCAAATGTCTGTAAGTCCGAGAATCGGTTCGGACGATGGATAAATGTGACACGTTTTCGTTTTTTGATGTCACAGGATATGGTGGTTTTATGAAAACAGATTTGAGGCAGAACATTATGTTAAATGAACACGTGGTGCGTTTACTGTGGTGAGAGTTTATCTGAAATTAAATTACTCAATATATTGTCCTACCTATAGTATCACAGTTTATTGCAATATATCGTATTGTTGCGCCTAGATCGTGTAACGTATCACGTTGCTAGATTCGGGCCAATACACACCCTTAGTGAGAAGGAAGGTCATTACTGTAATGTGTTTCTGTCACAACACAGGAAATTTTGCGGAAAATTATGTAAACATTAAAGGAGTATTTCACATTGTAGGGCTCAGTTCATCTGTGATGAGTGCGGGGTGACCTTAAGGTCGACCGTTGCTTCGGTTAATGACCTCCCGAGTCCATGTCCAACATCTGACGCCTAGTCCTAGTCCATATTTCATCGCACTGGTCGGGTCAGTGTGCGGAAGGTGGAGATTGTTTTAGTCCCCTCTGAGTGTAATGTCCACTCTGAGTCTGTGAGTCACAGTAACGAGGATCCAGGAACAGAGAGTCCTTTGACAGCAGCCGATGGGGTGAGTGGACGAGGGGACGGTGCAGATGAAACGAGTGATGTCTCTGACAGGCACGGGTCAGTGCTGACAGTCGGGGCAGGGTATCAAACTGCCATAGTGGTGGCCGTAGTCTTGGGCAAAGTGTGACTGATCGGAAAAAACAACATGAGCTGATATTTATTCAGATCAACTCTACCACACACACGTACATTAAAATTGGTACAGGTGCGTCCTATTTCATTTCTTTATCTATATTTATAATTTATTTTTGCGCTTTTTACAACCAAGCAACGACGTGGTTATCGACAACGTTTTCTTGGGCAAAGTAGTCATTCTCGCACAGATCTGAAGACATACAGTGCTCTGTTCTAGATCATGTGGTAAATTAATATTCAAAAACGAAAGAAAGACTCGACAGGTCTACGTCAAAGTAAAACTGATTTTGGTGTCTTCTTAACAAAGGCAGCGTAAGACTGTTGGACCGGTTTTTAATGCAGTCTTATTTTCTTTGGAGCCTGAAGGTGCAATTGTTGAGATACTTCGGTTGTTTTTGTCGTCCAGAGAAGTTGTTGAGTTGAGTTGTGAGCTTGTCTCCTTTGTTTTTAAGGCAGAACAACACAATGTTACCGTCTTTTTTTTTTTGGATTTTTAAAAAAAATTGCTCTAAAGTCCAGCTGCAGTAAGGGCACCCTCTGCTGGAATTCATGGTATGTGCCACAGACTGTCTGCAGATTAGGGAGGAACACAAATGAGAAAAAGTGAGATCACGAAAACTCCCTCACTGTCATTGTGTAAGTAGAGAGAATTGGATCCATCCAGAATGTTCTGAGATTGATGCCAGGCCCCAGGAATTGATCTAACAACCCCATGGGACCTACATTCTTAGTTTTACTTTGTTTTGTCCCATGGAGAAGATTGCATCAGGACGGTCGAGTGCATGAAGATCTGATGACGATTAGTTGATACGTACTTTCCAGTATTGTGACATCTCTGGAAAAGAGACAGAAATAAGATTAAGATGATTTGGGAATGGGGATCCACTAAGATCTTTAAAAAAAAAACAGTCGGTAGTTGGGTTAAATTTCTTCAGTTGAGATTTAATTAAAGTAAATTTTACACAACCATCCTATGGACCTCTGCTTCTGCCACTAGTGTTAAACCAGGATGGAAAGACTGTGGGTTAAATAAAAAAGTGTCCTTTACCACGATATTTGAGAATTCAAATCAATTTCCAACCTAGAGAAGGAGAACCTAGAGCTGAATTTCTGAATTTTCACACATTTTAAAAGTGTCACCGGCGAGTGCTCCACATCTGGCATCCAAAATGTAACCCACATTTGGTTTCCAACATTTAGCTGAAAACCAGATGTGAGAAAACCATTTGCTAAGGTGTGCGTTATTAAAGACTCACTTAATTTATTATTGGTATTTACGTGCAGGTGTATATGTGCTAAAGGGTGTATACGTACTAAAATGCTGAGGCCACGGAAGTTCCAGACTGCGTAGGTAATAGTTCCTGGTACCTGCAATGTACATTAAGCAGTGCACACTACTTTGTTACTGCTGTGACTGGATCCGAATTGGGACAGACATACAGTTATAGTTTACCTGTTACTAATAGATACAGTATACTAAAGCAGGGATCTCAAACTCAAATGAGCTGAGGACCTCTACTGGCCATTCTCATTTCATCGGAGGGCCACATCAGTGTCCAATATGCAATACAAAAACGATTAGATTCTTAACAAACCAACTGAAGCATTTTATTAGCATTAGCATCATTGTTAGCATGTAGTCATGGGGCCCGTCTGGACTGGACTGCATTTTCCTCATCAATGGTTGGTCCGTGGTAAACAAATTGAATAAACATTTGCATGAATATTGTTTGTTTAAAATCTTTGGTTGGAGGCAGAACGCAGGGTGAGGTGATTGATTTTTGCTGTCGAGAGTTTCAGTGGAAAAGTGAGGGAGTGGGTAAGATTGGCTCTGGTTACTACAACAACATTCTTGACTGAGAATCCCCCGTGTTACCCTACACACGCGCATCTGCACACGCCTCAGCTAAACTACACACATGCAGACAATTAAATCAGTCTCGGTCTGTGAATTCTCAACGTTAATTGCTTTTTTTTTTTTTTTTTTTAGCATGAATCTGTGTGTTGGTTTAAAGGTTGATGTCATCGTCACTGTTTTGTGTTCTTTGGTTTCCATCATCACCAGCACTTTAGATGGCATTGTTTTTGTACCATGTTGTTGATGATACCCAAGAAAACTTTTTAGTTGTTATGACTTTACCATAGTGGTGCTTTGGCCCAGAGGCAGTGTCTCTGTCATTGGTGTGGAACCCCAGGGTTCACCTCCTGGGCAAGTTCGAATCCCGGTTAGGGCGTAGAGTGTGATTTGGGTGGCGGTCCTGAAGACTTCTGCCCCCGCGACCCGGTAACGGATAAGTGGATGAAAATGGAAGGATGGGACCCGTTGGAAGACATTTCCTGGTCTTCTTTAATGGTTCAAGATCAGAACCAGTATCACACTTAGTATCCATAGATCTTTCCTGTTTCTCCCTTTATCGACCATCCCTTATCCTTAGAATCGTGGAATTTTCCATTGGTATTCTCACATAGGTAGAAGAAGATACTGCCTGTTTTACTCCGTATGGAGAATTTAATCCTCACTTAAGATATGTCCAGGCAAGATGGCTTCTACAGAACGCAATCCATCAATCCAAGACAAGAAGGAATAAATCTAAGTGACAGCCTTTCCTTCTGTCCTTCCATGCCTGAGTTAAGTTTTCATCATTCGTTTGGCCTGGTTTCTTCTTCCTTCCTTCCTTCCTACTTCAGTTCCTTCCTGTTTTCCTTCCTTTGTACTTATATACTTTCTTTTA